ACACCGGCGGGACACCGGCGGGACACCGCGCGCCACCGGCCGCCCGGTGGAGAATCATTTGGTCCGGCCGCGCCTCAGCCACAGAGGACACCCAGACACCGGCGGGACACCGCGCGCCACCGGCCGCCCGGTGGAGAATCATTTGGTCCGGCCGCGCCTCAGCCACAGGAGACTTTCCTCTCGCCCGCCCACGCAGCTTCGCCTCGCCCGCACGCACGGCACGCACGAACACGAAACCGAAATCGATTTCCCGGTAGGGGGGCTCTCCGTTCCACTTCAATCTCACCCCCTCACCTCCGATCCTTTTCCGCTCTGGGCTTTGCCATTGCCGCCTTCCGTCCGAAAGCCGTTCGTCATGCTGCTTCTGGTACGTTTGGAGCCTACTCCCCAAGATCCGCAGCTGTTCTGCGAATTTGGTGGGGCCGCCATCGAATCTCGTGTTAATCATGCCCATGAGCTGCGTGACCTGAACGACTCCTGTCGAAGGTTCCTCATGACGATCGAGCAAGCACCACGCCTCGAAGTCGTGATACCCTGGAAGATCCATCACCAGCTGAAGCGAACTGCCCATGAGAACCTGCAATAAAATGACAGCCAACGTCCTGCTTTGGCTACGGAGAACATCTTTGAGCTCCTGCACTGGAATCGGGTTGATTTGACGCTCTGCCTGCTCCAGACTCCCTGGAAGCTCGCCGTCCAACGCACCGATATAGGCCTTGAAAACATACTTCCATTGAAACCAGTCCTTACGATTACCTGAATAAGCCTTCCGCTGTCCCAAAAATTAGGCGTCAACTAGTGGCAAAGGCCCGCCTTGACCACCCATAATTTCGCGAAAATATACACAAACTTGCACTCGAAATTGAACTCATCCAAACTCAAACGTCAAAGGAATATGGCAATCGATCTTCGTGGAGACCTCGGAATTGAACTGCGTCCAACACTCGCGGCGCGCCGGGACCCCGTGGATTAGACCACGCGCTCCGCTACCATGGGCGAATCAGGCCCCTGGTGAGGATTCCTTTATTCCCTGAAATCGCGCTTGAGCCAAAGCGGTTGGGGCCCACCTCAGCTCCCGCCGCCATCCTCGCACGCACGGCAATCCTGCACCCCCATCTTAGGGGTTAAACGGGGCAGGTACATTGAACCTCCCCACATATTCACACCGCACCTTTTAGCACGGCACAACACAACCCTGCTGACATTCCGCACGGCACCGAGCACGACCATCAAAGGATACACACACGCATATTATTGTTGTTGCTAATATTATTCGTCGTATGTTGAATACTAGTATTGTTAGTAGTGTTCGTTTTCGTCGTCTTATTCGTCTTCATTGTACTATTATTATCATTATGCTTCATATTCATCTTTATATGAATATTAATGGTACTATTATGATGCCTCTTCCTCCTCCTCTTCCTCCTCCGCTTTCTCTTCCTCCGCCTCCTCCTCCTCCTCCTCCTCCTTCTCCTCCTCCTCCTCCTCCTCCTCCTCCTCCTCCTCCTCCGCCTCCTCCCCCTCCCTTTCCTCCTCCTCCGCCTCCTCCTCCTCCTCCGCCTCCTCCTCCTCCTCCTCCGCCTCTCTCCTCCTCCTCCTCCTCCTCCTCCTCCTCTCCTCCTCCTCCCTCCTCCTCCTCCTCCTCCTCCTCCTCCTCCTCCCCTCCTCCTCCTCCTCCTCCTCCTCCTCCTCATCTCATCATCATCATCATCATCATCATCATCATCATCATCATCATCATCATCCATCATCATCATCATCATCATCATCATCATCATCATCATCATCAGCATCATCATCATCATCATCATCATCGACATCATCATCATCAACGTCATCATCATCATCATCAGCATCATCATCATCATCATCATCATCATCATCATCATCATCATCATCATCATCATCATCATCATATCAATCATCATCAATCATCTCATCATCATCAGCATCAGCAGCAGCATCATCATCATCATCATCATCATCATCATCATCATCATCAGCCTCCTCCTCCTCATCATCATCATCATCATCATCATCATCGTCATCGTCATCAGCATCATCATCATCATCATCATCATCATCAGTACCACTATGTTCAGCAGAATCATCGTCATCATCAGCATAATAATAAGAATCAGCATCATCAACATCATCAGCATCATCATCAGCATCATCATCAGCATCAGCATCAGCATCATCATGATAATCAGCATCAACGTCATCATCATCATGATCATCATCATCATCAGCAGCAGCATCACAATCATCATCAGCAGCAGCATCATCATCAGCCTCATCATCATCATCATCATCATTATCATCATAGAAGCACCATCATCATTATCATCATCATCATCATCATCATCATCATCATCATCGTCATCAGCATCGTCATCATCATCACCATCATCTCACAATCATCATCATCAGCAGCAGCATCATCATCAGCATCATCATCATCGTCAGTATCGTCATCATCATCGTCATTGTTCATAAACATCATCACCATAAATCATCAGCAGCATCAGCATCAATATCATCATCATCATCATCATCACGTGCATCATCATAAGCAACATCCTCATCAACATCATCATCAGACTCCGCATCATCAGCAGCATCATCAGCAGCATCGTCATCAGCATCATCAACATCGCCACGACGACCACAACCACCACCATCATCATCATCATCATCATCATCATCATCGTCGTCATCATCATCCGCATCATCATCTTCATCATCATCATCCTCTCATCATCATCATCATCAGCAGCATCATCATCAGCATCAGCATCCTTCTCGTCCTCATCATGCTTCTCCCTGTTCCTCCTCCTTCTCGTCCTCCTCCTCGTCCTCCTCTTCTTCCTCTTCCTCTTCCACAACGTTTTCCGTATACCCATCCTCATCATCATTATCAGCAGCATCATCATCAGCATCATCATCACCACCATGACCATCACCATCACCATCATCATCATCATCATCCTCCTCCTCCCCATTGTCATCCTCATCATCATCATCATCATCATCATCATCATCATCATCATCATCATTATCATCAGCCGCATCATCCTAACCACCACTATCAACAGCATCATCATCGGCATCGGCATCAGAATAGCTTCAGTACCACTGTCATCACCATCACCATCACCAACAACATCACCATCACCATCACCAGCATCCTCATCATCGCAACCACCAGAGTCATTACCTTCATCACCACCAGTCATCATCACCACCACCAGCAAACCAATCATCAATATCACCATCACCACCACATCACAGCACCACCACCACCACCACCATCCACACACACGCACACCATCATCATCTTCAACGTCACCATCAACAGCATCAGCATCAGCATCAATGTCAGCATCGGGATCATCGTCATCATCACCACATAATCAACACCAGAATCACCGTCATCATCACTCACTCACCCACGCACTCACGCACTCACTCACGCGCCAGCTCACCCATACACGCTCATCATCACCATCAGCATCATTCACGCACTCACTTACCCACTCACACACATACATACACAACACACACACACACACTCAGCACCACCATCATCATCAGTATCAGCATCATCGCACATTCTCACTCACACACTCACCCACTCACCTTGGGTACGTCTCGAGCGGGAGCCTGGTCTGTGAGCGAATCGCGAGGAAGTCTCGAACGGGAGCCCCCCCCCTATGATGTCCACACCATGTTCGAACCCGAGGCGTCCGTACAAACAAAATTGTAAAACACAGGTTTGGTGACACCTGGGGGGCCCGAATCCAGAGGAGGTCTCGAGCGGGGGCCTCGATCCTGAGCAAACTAAGAAGATGTCTCGGGCGCAAACTCGTCTGTAAGTGAATCGCGAGGAAGTCTCGAGCGGGAGCCCGTCTCTAGGAGTCCCCACCTCCATGTTCGAATCCGAGGCTGCAATCGGACAACAAATTTGAACACCTGGGGGCCTGAATCCAGAGGTCTCGAGTGGGAGCCTCGATCCTGAGCAAACTAAGAAGACGTCTCGGGCGCTCGCCCGTCTGTAAGTGAATGGCGCGGATGCCTCGGGAGGGAGCCCCTCCACCGGAGTCCCCTCCTCCTCCACGTTCGATTCCGAGACCGTCTCCGGAAAGTGTAAAAACACAGGTGTGATTGCACCCGTGAGCTTGAATCCCGAAAGCGTGTCGAGCGGGGGCACGGTTTCTGAGCAAATTGGAAGGATGCCTCGAGCGAGAGGCTCGTCTGTGAGTGAATTGCGAGGACGTCTCGAGCGAGAGCCCTCTTCCCTATGGGGTCCCCACCTAACGTTGGTACTATCAGGCGACCATCGGGATTCTAGGAGCCTGCACCCGAAGCAGCCTCGAGCGGGAGACTCATTTCTGAACAAATTGAAAGGATGCCTCGGGCGCTCGCAGGTTAGTGAATCGCGAGGAAGTCTCGAACGGGAGCCCCGCCCTATCGCCAACCCGCTTTACGTTATTTTATCAATCCGAGGCGACCAATTCTCGCGCGGGAGCCTCATTCCTTTGTCGAGCGTCCTTTGTAATCCAACGCGGCCATCCTTAATGAAGCTTGTAAGCGTTGGCGAGGGCCAGCAGATACCAGACCGGAAGAGGGCCTCCGTAGTCACGAGGATAACGATGCGGATTACTTCCAGATTAGTTCTTGGGATTCTCATGCGGGGTCCTGAGTGCCCCAAGACGGCCCAAAGGGCGCCCAAGACTGCCCGAGAGGGCCCCAAGACGGCCCCAAGAGAGGGCCCCACGAACCGACAATTCGAGCTGCCGCCCCAAGAGGTCCCCAGGAGGCCCCAAGAGGCACCCAGGAGGCCCCCACGGGGCCCCCAAGAGGCCCCACGAGGCCCCCAAGAGGCCAAAAAAAGACTCCAAGAGGCCCCAAGACGGCCCCCAAGATAGGCCAAAGGCAATTCGATTGTTCATGTCCCTTCATCACTCCTCCTGCCCCCTCCCACTGGGGGGAGGGACCTGGTGCTCCTGCTGCTTGGAGACAAGCTCGCGCGCGGCCGCGGTGACCTGGCGGACGCGGGCTGCGATTGCGCCCTGGATCCCACCAGCCCTCTGTCCTCTTCCAAAGCACAGGTGTCCTTCGGGGAGGGGTGCCCTCACTCCCTTCCGATGTGTCAGAGGTTTCTTGTTGGCCCAAAGTGGCTCTAGATGGTCTTCGATACTCCAAGATGGCCTCCAAGATGGCTCAAGAGAGCCGAAGATGACTCAAAGCGGCCTACATCATGCCTCAAGCGGGGCCTCGAAAGAGCCGAAATATGGTCCCATGTGCTCTTGGAATCCTTCAAGGGCTCCTGCAGAGCCCCACATCCTTCAAAAGCTGCGATTGCGCACTCGATTCGTCAGGTAAAGGGAACGGAGTACTGCAGGTAACGATGGCAGTGAAGCGTTAGCGAAACCACAAAGCGAACCTCAGGCACCAAACCATCTGGCAGGGAAGAACGGTGCCTGCGAGCGTGGCTAAAAATCAGGCTATGGCTAGGGCCGAGGAGGAGAAGCTGGAGGAGAGGAGAGGAGAGGAGAGGAGAGGAGAGGAGAGGAGAGGAGAGGAGAGGAGAGGAGAGGAGAGATGAGGCGAGGCGAGGCGAGGCGAGACGAGGAGCAGAGAGGAGACGAGAGGAGAAGAAAGGAGAAGAGGAGAAATAACGTTTGAACAATTTGCACGGGCTTCGCGAATACGCAACGACGCCTTGCCTGGAACATGCTGCGGCCAGTACGTCCAGCATGGCCGGGCTCCGCAAAAAAACATCTGGACCATAAGCAGCGGGAGCGCGTTCGCGACGCGAATCACAGCAAAATCGGCATGTACAACAACAGCTAAATGGGCTCCAGCGGGCGACAAGCTCGGTCTCTTTGAGTTCCGCGCTGGACTGGCCAGCGGCGCCCGATAGCGTCCCTAACTTCGCTGGAAAGCGTGCGAAAGCAGCATGAACCCAAGGGGGGGTGGAAGACGAAAGGGAGGTCATGAGGGAAGCGGAGGGCGAGCTGGGGGTGGAAGGATGGGGGAGGGAGAAAGAAGACACACGCCACACGAAACCGCATTCGACGGCACCGAACGGCACCAAACTGGAGCTGCGAATCGCTAAGGTCCTAAAACAGGCACCCATGATTCGCCACCTAACCCCAGCTGTCGCGGAGCCTGCGCAATCCAGACGGGGTCTCGTCCAAGCAGGCTTCGCCCCACTGGATGAGCAGCTGAAGGACTCGCGGGTCTGAGTTTGGCGGGGCGCTGGCCGACGCTGAAGTCAGCCTAGCGATTGGGCTCGCAGCTCCAGGGTGGCTGTCCTGACGAGTCCTGGTTTCAGCCACGCTGCAATAGTTGACATCGTGGACTGATTGGGCACTGGCGCAGACTCAGTCGTCTGGCGACCGCGCGCCTGCCGTTTCCCTGAAGGGCCAAAATCGCGGTGCCCATCCGTCGCGGTGGACGCGCGCGAGGTTTTCCACCCGCGCGGCGTGGACGAATACGCCACGCTGATGCGCAAGGTCAGATGTCTCCGCGAGGTCCCAGGTAGCCGATGGAAGAACGGTGCATCCAGAAGTGGTGGCGTCCTCCCTGGCCCTCGTGATCCCGTCGACCTGCTGCTGAATCACTACTTCGTAGCTAAATTCGATGATGCGGATCGCGGGGTCAGGGTCAGTGGGTTCACCGTTCGGGCCTCGCGCCAGCGCTTGATAAATGCCACCCTCGCTTTTTGCATCGTAGCGTTTTTGGCCCAGCCTCACTCGGTGATAGCGCCAGGCAGAAGATCTGGCACCTGCGGCGGCCGGCGGTCTCTCGCGGGGCTGCGGCCGCGGCAGCGGCCGCGCGGTCGGCCGCCACCGCCCCTGGCAGCCGCGCGCCTCCAAGGCGGTCTGAGCCCGAGGTCAGCCCCGATCGCGTCGACGGCGCCCGCGGACACAGAGATGCTGTCGGTCTGGGCGAGCAAGGTCTGAAAGTCAGCTGGCGAGCCACTAGCTCGGGCGAGCGCGCTGACGCATGGCCCTCTGCCGCAGCACAATCGGACCCATGCCCCCACCGGCCCGCGTCCCAGGCGCAACTCGCCCGCGCGGGCGCTGGTGGCAGAATCAATTCCGCGGCGAATAGCTGCCCCTGCGAAGAGGGGCGCAACCCCCCAGTGGCACATGACGCACCAGCGAAACCAGGTCACGGCTTGCAGCACGCAGGTTCGGGCTTTCCTAGCGGCGCGGGCGAGTCTGCCCAGCGCGAGCCACACGTCGGCACCCATTGCGGTCGCGATGCTGGCGAAGCATGGAGGCGCGCGCTGACTCCGCTGGAATCGGCACGTCTCTGGCGCCGACGTTCGACCCCGCGGCCGCGGTCGCAAAATCGCGGTCGCGCGCTCAGCGGGGCCCGCTGTCAGAGCCTCGGAATGCTGTTCTGGGCTCCCGGGCGGGCCGCTCGGGCGATGTCAGCGCGGCCCCGCCCTGGCCTGGCGGCCCTTGGAGGAACCGAGCGCCGACGCTCACTGCCCCGTTCTCCATCCGTCGCCGCCGCTTCGCGCGCCTGGCAGGGGCGGGAAAGGAGACCCCCGACCGCGCCCGCCTTGGCGGCGGCTCCGAGCACCGCGTCGAAGGCCGCGGCGGCCGCCGCAGCAGCGGGCGAGCACTGTCGCGGGGCGCGCGCTTGAGCAGTCGCGGTCGACGCGCCCGCGCCGCCGCGCAATCGCGCCCGCGTCGGACCCCGTCGCCCCGTCGCCCGCAGCGACGACTGCGACCAACACTAGACAGGGCCAAATGCATTCGGTCAATTTGATTGGTGTCTTGAAGTTGCCGCGCGGCGTTTAGTCGGCGCCGGTTCGGCCCCTCGCGCGGCCCGGCCAATCGAGGTCGTCCGCGGACGTGTCTTCCAAGAAGGAATCGCCGTCAAGAGACGCCTGGGCACGGGGGCGCCAGGGGCGCCCGTCGCCAGCGGCCGCGGCGGCGCGCCGGCGCCAAGCGGAATCTGCGGCGGGGGCGGCGGCGGCGGCGCATCGCGCGACGGCGGAGTATGCCCCACCGCTGAAATGCGCAACCAAGGCTAACAACACTGCCGCGGACGTTGCCATCGGGCCACGGCCGCATAATCCGCCGAGTCTGCTGGCGCGCAGCCGCCGTCACGTCGCCGCGGAAGTGGCCCAATGAGCCCCGCGACCAACGCGCGGCTCTGCGATCGACATCGCTGGCCAGGCGCGCGTTTTCCCGCGCCGTGGACCAGATGTCGCAGGCTTCGCGCTGGCGCCTGCATTCGGTGGCGCGCCGAGATTGCGCGCGGCTCGGAATAGCAGCGCGCAGCTGGCGCACCGCAGATCTTCCGACGCCCGCGCGATGTACTTGCCCAACCAGCTTCGAAGCGCCCCCTGCCCCGCGCCCCACAGCGGCCGCATTTCAGCCGCTCCTTGGACGCGGTCGAGGATGTCCCGGCGCTGGTGACTAACCAGCCCCTGTCTCACACAGCTGGGGCAATTGCGCAACCCCTGGGCATATCACGTCTGCGCGAGGCCCCCCCCGTCGCCAGGGCCCTTGCCTAGGTCGCCACCCAGGCCAGCTTCCAGTTTAGATCCTGGATAAGACGGGGCCGTCCATTTCCTGCCGCATCCCTGGCCAGGAAGAGCACGCCCGGGGGCCAGTTGGGACCGGTGCCCCTCGCCGCGCCCGTCACGACGCCGCGCGGCGACGTCGTCGGCGACGCGGGCGTCTGGCGGCCAGCGCGCGCGCCGTTCATGGCCGCGCGTGGGGCTTGAACCATCATCGCGCTGCGTCGCAGGGCTGGCGCTGTTCATGCACGGGCGGCGTCGTGCTTGAAACGCGGCTCTCGTCGTTCCCGGGACTGGCGGGCGCCCCGCGGCGCGGCGGCTGGTCGCGCGGGCTGCCTGGCTGGCCTTGAAAGACCGCCGTCGCGCGGGGTCGCCCCTGCAGGATAGCAGCGCGCGGCACTTGCCGGCGCCGCCAGTCGCCTCGTCCGCCGGCGGCCGGGGCGCAGCAGAAGCAACGGCACTGCACCGCGCGTCGCCGGCGCTGGCGCGAGAGGAAAGCACCGCACCCACCCCCCCGGCCCGCTCGGGGCCTGGGTCGGCGGGAAAGGACGCCGGACATCAGGGGCGGCGAGCCTGGCCCCAGGTCGCTCGACAGGGAGCCGCAGACAGCGAACTGGGCGCGAGCGAAGGGCGAACAGCGCCCATCCAGACGCGGCGCCTGCCAGCGCGCAGCTAACCAGGCAGGCGTCGACGAGCCCGGCGCCGCGGCGGGGCAAATGCGAGCTATGACCACCCCCGGGCGAAACCATTGACGATCATGGAAACTAACAAAGGAATGCCTACAGCGCACCCGGCGCCATAACGGACTGAGCTGCCCGCCCGCGCAGAAGCGCGCACGGCGAGCCCACGGGCCAGAGGCGAGCGGCACCTCGACGGTCGACGGGGAGAAGGGGGCCCATCGAGGCACCTTCAAAACGGCCCCCGCAGCGGCCCGGGCCGGGGGCGCGGCGGCGCGCCCGTCGGGTCGCAGCCCCCCCCCGCCCCTCCGCCCGACAACGGCTCTGCCTCTTTCCCGCGCGCGGCCTCGCATCCCTGTCCTGTCGGAACTGGTGGCCGGGAACCGGAGCGCACTGGGGGCCGGGCGGCGGCCGGGCCATCTGGGCTGCGCGAGCCGCCCGGGCCTGGGCCGGCGCGACCAGCTGGGCCATCTGGCACACAAAGGCCCGCAGGTCCGAATTGAAGCTGGTATACCCCACTTGCACCAAGGAAAATCCTTATTTCGAGCTGATTGCGTTGCTGGGCCAGGGCGGCCCGGCTCGCGCGCTTGTCACTGCTGTTCGAAGACGCCTGACCACGTCGGCCAGCTGCTGTCCTTCAGCTTCTGGGCCTCAGGACCTCGCGTCGGTTCGGTATGAGATCCCATGGACGATTGGTGTCGGGGGACACTCCTCCTCGGAGTCTGCATCGTATCCAGGTAGCCTGGGTCGACCTTTGGGCGACGCCAGTGGGGCGCTGGCGACCTCGCATTGTTCGTTTCGCGTCGCCAGGCACGTCGCAGTCCTCATCGTCGCGCAGGCCACAGGCGCCTGGCCTAGACTGGCCATTGGCTCACCTGTTGCAATTCCCGCAACCTGCCCGGCTGCGCCCGGCGTCAACACGGCTTGCAAGCACGGCCCGGTGGCAGCCCTGCCTTGGAAGAATGGCGAGGCGCGGGCGCCCGGCCACCTGGCGGGGACCCCGCCGCGGGCCCCTCCGCCGCCATGGTCTCTGGTGGAACGACAATTTCGGTCGGCCTTTCGCGGGGATTTCTCTAGGCGGGGGGCTCGACGTTGACGATGGCCCCAGGGGCGGTAGATCCTTGGACGCACAGCGGTGGCGCGGTCGCATTGACGATGAGGAACCACCCAGCGCCCTCGCGGCGCCCCAGGGTTCGATGCCCGCGAGCGGCGCGCGGCGCAGGCCAATGTGGCATCGGCGCCCGCGACTTCGCGCGCGACCTGCTCGGCCTCGTTAGCGTCGCGTCTCGCGCGGACGCCCACCCCTTGATCCGCGCGGATGGCGCCGCAGGCGTCGTGCTTCGGGAGCTCGCGCGCGCGCTTCTTGAACGCTGTCTGGCGGCGGCCCGCTGGCACCATGGTAGCTTCCATCGAACTGGGCGCCCCCTGTCCCGCCGCGGAAAGGACAATGGTCGCGCCCGCCGGTTCGACGCCAAAGGTGGCCGCTGGCCCGCGCTGACCCGCTTCCGTTCCGCGTCGCCCCTGGGCCCCAGCACCTCCGCGGGCTTTGGGACTTGGACGGCGCGGAAATCGGATGTATAAATGGCCACGAAGGCGCATCTGAGGTCATCGTCGAAGTTTGCCTCGCGCTGTCGCGATTGGCTGACTTGCGGCGCCCCTTGACATTTTGCTGGGCCGTTCCTGCGCCGCCTGGCACGCGGCTTCCGTCGATGGGAAGGACACCTGAGAATTGGGCGGAAAACAGATCCTCCAATGCTGGCACGGCAACAATGGCACCGGCCTCACACATGGCGCCGAGGATCCCGACTACGCCGTCGGCTGGGTCAGGGGTGGCCTGAACAGAGCTGAACGACCTTGGCGCGGCTTTCCCGTTTATGCGTCCTGGCGCGTGGCGTGGGCTGGATAGCCTTTTTACCGCTTTTCGGGGACGAGCATGGTGATTTTTTCTCTGGGTAATCGGATTTGATCGGTCCCGGGACTGCTAGCGCCAGGGGGTTGTCCTGCCGACGGATATGTTGCACGAAACCGCGACCCCGTTCTAGCGAATGGCGCGAGGTGCCACTGGTGTATGATGTCCCGTTTTCCGCCGTGCATGGGGCAAGTGCCGCGGGGAACTCCCAGTTTAGCGCACCCAGGTTTGAGCTCGGCGGAATCCGAAAACCATGGCGAGTCGCGGCTGAAGTCCGCTTTGCGCATGAGGGAGTAGCGCAAGATGGCGTACCTGATGTTGCTTCCCCCGCACAGTTTCATCAGCTCGCCCCTGCTTACGCTGGTCGGAGCGGTGCTGTTGGTAGATGTTGTCAAGACCGTGTTGATGTTTGCGAACGAATTCGTTGCAACCAGCGAATGTTCAGTCGATGCCAACAGTGCTCTGGAGTGTGGCGGCGCAGGCTTCCTTTGGACTGAGGTTGGTATCTTGTCGGTCCACTACGGTCGCTTTGGGTGGGCGGCCCTTCCCTGGTGGCTTGGGCTGCGGTGTTCCAGAAACCACAAAGCGCGGACTTTTCGGGGCCATGACGCGCGCGGAAAGAAGGGATTGTGACATGCATCGGTCCTGTATGATTGATACGGTTACAGTTTCACCAGGCTGGAAGGCGCGGAAGGTCACATGTCTTGCCTACGCTCTGAGCGCACAACCCCCTCGAGCCGAGGCAGGAGGGAGGAGGAGAAAGGGAGGGAGGAGGGAGAGGGTGATGGAAGAGGGCGAGGCGGAGGAAAAGGGAGGAGGGAGGAGGACAGAAGGATGGAGGAGGGACCTCCTCATCCAATGGCCCCCTTTTTCGCCCTTCCGCTTCCCCTCACGGCCGCTGCAGGCGACCCTCCCGCCCGCTCGCTCGCGCGCGCACGCGTGAAGGGCCTTTCCCGCGGCGTCGCACGCGCTCCACCTGGGGCCCGTCAGCTGGAAGCTCTGCACCACGACGCACCCCTCGCCCACGTGGCCGAACAGGAGACCCTCGGCCACAATAGTAGGAAGGCACCCACTATACACCAACACCGATCCTGGCCAGGATCACCCTGGGCCCAGGATCGGTGTATACGCCCTCCTGCCTCGGGCAAGAAGGCATATACACCGATCATGGGCCCAGGGTGATCCTGGGCCAGGATCGGTGTTGGTGTATAGTTGGTGCCCTCCGAAATAGAACTGGAGGCTTGGAAATGGACACCAACAGCAACACAGGGGGGTGCCTCCACCAGGGGAAGATGGTCCGAGACTCTGGCGTTGGTGGGAACATGGTCCTAGAAGCTCCAGCCATCATCGAGATCGGGGT